CTGTTAAAAGGGCGAAAAAGTGCTTTCTGAGTGCAAACTCAGATGTAAAGGGTATTTGCAATACTATGTTAAGATGAGAGACACCACACCCACGCTTTTCATGAAAAAGGTGACAAACTAGATGCAAATAAGTTATTCCGATATTCAAACGCTAAAAAAGCATGGTCGCAATACCTTGGAAGCAGTTGTCCTCAGTTTTCGACTTTTTCATTATAGTGTTGCCATTTGGTGTTGTATTCTCCACATCACTAAATTACCTCAATTTTGAAATCACATCTAAAAGACAGATCAGATAATTTTCAATAATTTTAATAAAAAGATTTCGGCAAATTTTGAAGATATACCGTCTCGGAAGAGGCAATGTCAGAAAGGCAGTAGTAGTGCACTCATCAGAAAGGGGAGAGTTTTGTTCAGCAGATATTTCACTATAGGGTAGATCATTTGATGATATGAATGATTCCCCGTCCATACAGCTATAACAATCGCTGAAGTCTTCCTGATTACTTTCCGATCGCAGCGGAACCGTAAATGACGTATGAAGTAGAGTATTATCGACGGACCTCACTCGTCCCGTTAATCCGGGCATGCTGCAAGATGCAGGTAAAAGAACAGTAGTCTCAAGTTCATTTGAGAAACACGGAGCAAAGACGACAGATATTTGGTGTTCAACGAAGCCGTCCTTCTCATTACATGCCCAGTTGTCCAACTCTAACTGGTCTTCTCCAGCGCTGCTGTGTTTATGTGGCAACCGAACATTTTCGATAATTATGGATTGGTCATCATCAGTTGTGTAGTCGTTCCATGAAGGGCCAAATAAAATAGAATTGAAGCGTGAGCAAATAGCAGGAATACCAAACTGAAGAGGTCGTGGTTTGTATTGCTGACCGTTAGGGGATTTTTGAGCAGCAATAACGCCATTAGACTTGGGACTGATTTCTCCACAACCAAAGTCTTGAATATCGGCTTGTGTGGAGCTTTTGAAACTATTAAGAGAAGCAGATCTCGAGCGTAAAGCTTGCGATTCTTCGCTAACTGGACTTGTAGAAGACAGCTCCGCGATAACGTCACCTCTACCTGGATGTGCAGGTGAGAACCATCGATAGATCCAGGCGACGAACATAACTAGCCAGGAGAAAACATCAATATAGTCATCAGAATCGATCTGTGGCGAACTCAGCCTGCAGTGGGATAGAAGAGGGAACACCTGACGGTCTTGATTCCAACTAACAGGTGGCCAAAGCTCGACGGGGCGGGCCGAGGCGACATCGCCAACTCGGCGCGACGGCCGCGCCTCAGCTGGGACTAACAAGAGACGGCAACAATTGGATTTTCTGCACTTCATCCCTTGTGCCCGCTTGGGCAATGGCAGGATCAAAATAAAAGGCCTTCAATTGAAAATTACCTATGAGTATGGAAATAGTAATATGAAGCGTAGGGTACATAAATAATATCGAGCACTGAAAGCACTACTTTGCCGTTTGATTGATTCCCAAACGCAATTCGTGGAGTAGAAGAAAGGAGCGACGCAACATAGATTTCAAATGAAATTTATAGTATAATTCATGCATGCCTTTATATATTGCATTAATTTCTCCTCTACTTAGCTGCAAAAAAACAGTCCAAGAAAGATACAAAGGAGGACCCTATACCAAAGAATTCCTCAAAGCGCTATAATGCATATGACTGGTAAAAAGAAATCCTGCAAAATCAAAAAGCACAACTTACTCGAAATCCAAAGCAGTGGTCTCGTGATTTCCATTCATTTGGTTAGACGAACCATTTGTTGGCGGTGGTGGCGGGATTTTTGGTTTGTTAGCCTGTAGCACTGATGAATGTAATGACATTTGTGCACTAAACCATGCTCTCAACAATCACAGTCTCACAATCACAAATGTGCAGCAAAGGATTTTTAATTTTCACATGCTTTACCTCAGGTTTCAAAGTTAAATAAAATTTCAGCATTGGCAAGAATTGGGGAAAAAGCGAATTAAAATTGAGAAATAAAAGCAGTAAGGTTACAAAACTTGCTTCTAAGCAAGAAAGTTGGGGAAAGTAGCGATAAAGAAAGCAGCCAGCTGGTACGATGCGTTCACAGAGAGAGTTAAAAACGATGTGAAGATTTACAATAGAAGAGTAGAAAAAATTGCCCGCTGGTAAATTGTGATATTCAAGAGAAAAGAA